AGACCGGCCGCTCACTGGCTGAGCGAGGTGCGGACGCAACACCAAGGGTTGCGATCCCGTTGCCGGTCCCGGTCTGGTATGGGCGCGACACTGAGGGTTGCAATCCGTTGCCGGACACAAAAAAAGACAAAAAGGAAAAAAAAAAGAAAGAAATTGTTGGATTCTGGATATATTTTTGAAGATAGAACCACCAGAATTTCCTAATGGATTGGATGAGGGATGTAAGAGAAAGAGGATTCAAGGATGATGCCAGGGATTTGCACCATCAAGTGAGATGATAAGACTGTAGGTAGATCTAGTTTGGAAGGGAAAATCAGAAGTTTACTTTTAGCTACAGTAAGTGAGATGTTTATTAAATATCCAAGTGGGAGAGGTCTGGGCTGGAGACATAAATTTGGAAATAATAAAATCTAGGTGGCATTTAAATCCATGAGACTGGGCAAAATAACCAAGGAAGTGGGTATAGGGAAGAGGTCCAAGGCCTGAGTTTTGGGGACATTCCAACATGAAGAGATTGGTGTGAGGCAGGAAAACCAGTAGAGACTGACTTGAGAAGCAATGGTCAGTGAGGCAGGAGGAAAACCAGGAGAGTATGTTGTTCTAGAAGCCAAATGGAAAGTTTCATGATGGAGTGATCAGCTCTGGCAAGTGCTGCAGAGGGGCCAAGTAACATGAGGACAGAAATATGATTTAAATTTTGCAAAGGGGGTAGTGGATGACCTTGACAAGAGAAGTCTCCATTCTCCTTGGAAACTCACTAAAGTTAATAGGGCAGAAAAGGAAGAGCTTACCGGAGGTTTGCCTTTGTTGATCTTTATGGTGAAGTAGACAGCAGCACTGACTCGTGCCATGGGTCTCCGAGCGGTTGACATGCTCCAGCGTACACAGTATATGTAGTGGAAGGAATGAATTAAGTCTTTCCTCTCTACAAACTCTGTATAGCACACCCAGTGACTTTCACAATCCCAAGTCTGTTTCACAGAAAAAAAAAAGAAGCACATAAAGAAAAGCAGACTTCTGACCAAGTACTCTAGATAAAGGTGGCACTTAACAGTCAGGGTTACAGCCCTGTTCTGGAGTCCATTCCTAATATCTTTGATTGGGATTCAAATTAGAGTCAACTGCCAATGATCCCCATGGATGGAGGAGAGAAAAGGTGGAGCTGAAATGAAACAAGTGAAGAATGCAAGCATCACTTGAGACTGGGCTTTGCACTGCAGGGGCACACCCTCAGATGTACATGTATACATAAACATCACCCACATACAGACGGTGCTCCACACCCTCACTTGGGAGGCAAGTTTGGTTAATTGGAAAATAATTAGAAAGTGATTAGAACATGTGTTCTGCTTACTCCACCCTGGAATACCGAAGGTGTGACTAGAAAGTAATGAAACTGGTTTTGGCCACTTGTGAAAATCAGACTCACTTCATTGCAGCCATAGGTGGTATATAAAATAAGATCAGAAAAGGAATGAGTCAGGCAATAGGATAGTCCGCATCCCTCAAAAAGGAATGATTCCCTGTTTGTATACCCTTGGAGAAGCTTCCCCCTTCCAAAGAACAGATCTTACTAGTGAAGAGGGTTGAGAAACAGAAAACCTTTCTTGGAATATCTTGTCTGGGCCTATTCTTGGAGTTCAGATGGGAATACATAACTAATGTTAACTATATTATTAAAAGTATCAGCACTCCTTCCTTCCTTCCTTCCTTCCTTCCTTCCTTCCTTCCTTCCTTCCTTCCTTCCTTCCTTCCTTCCTAATTCATATATATTTTATTAACCTTTGGACATGTCAATTCTACCCCTAATACAATGTATGTCTATGTCTCACATCTATCCATTCTTCTCCAGTCCCACTGCAACACTCTACATCTGCTCTCATTGTTTCTCACCTGGACTCAGGCAGTAACCTCCTATCTAGATTCCATTGTCCTCAACCTCACTTCTCCAAACCACCACCTACACTGAAGCCAGGGCTATTTTCCTTAAGCACAGCTTCAGTCCTATCAGCTTAGCTCAAAAACTTTCAATAATTCCCCATTGTCTGCCAAACAAAGTGAAAATGTTTCACTGTCATTTAAGACCTCTCATAGTCTGGACCTAATAATATGACTTTCTACTCTCATGTCACACTTTTCCTGACAAAAAGCTCATACTCCTATAAAACTAGAACCAGTCACTATTCCCATATTTGCACCATGCTTTTGATCAGGCTGTTGGCATTTTGGGGGAAGCCTCTCCCTCTCACCTCTACTTGGTAAAGTCCTTTTTCCTAAAACTACCATCTCCAAGAAGTCTTCCTTGGTCTCTCTTCCAACCAGAAGTAATTTTGTACCCTTCCCCTCTTAACACTTGTGGGGCTTGTTTTTTGCCTCTCTTATGGCACTCAACACTCCCTCCTGTACTACAGCCATGAGGAGCAGTCTTCATCATGGTCTATATCAAAATGTTTCTAGCAAGGCTGACTTATCCATAAGGCATAGTAACACAGCATCTAGGGCCCACAATACACTGAAGAGCTCGCAAAAATGTTTTTGTTTCTTTTAAAATCAGAAGGAAAAAAATGAACTTTTAGGGCCAATGATTATATTCATCTTCATACTAATGCTGTTTTAAATTTTTCCATATTTTTAAGGAGGAAGGGGGCCACAAAGAGAAGGGTGCCTAGGCCTACAGAAGTCATAATGCAGCCCTGGTTCTTAGCAGAGAGTCTTGAATGTAATAGGTATTCAACACATTCAGCTGAACCCCCTTGGGCTGGCTATTGGGGCACAGGAAGATTCTGAATCAAGGAAGAGTCTGAATTAAGATAAAGGTTCACAGAGGGAAAGAAGTGGGATAGTCTAACAATCTCAGTGATGTGGGGAGGGAGTAAGGGAGGAGATGGCAAAAAGATTCCCGTCCCTCCTTTTTAAAAAAAAAAAAAGTAGGCTGGCCTTCTGCCTCAGCTTATTTCAAACTTGTAGGCAATTTGTTGTTTCAGTAAGCCAGAGAGGAGCACTGGGTAGATTCCTTGAGATCAGGGGCTGTGTCTTCTTCCATACATCATTATTCATTTTAATGAAGAAGCCCAACAGTCAACCCCTTGTGGCCCATTGGAACATGAATTTTTTCCCCCAACCTTTCTATATTACTTAATATACTTTTCTAACCCTAATGTTTAACCTCTCACACAATCACAAACTTTGTAGCATTGAAATGGTCCCTAGAGCTAATCTAATGAAGCCCCTCACTCTACATATGAGGATACAGGGGCCTAGAAATGGGTAGGGACAGTCTAACACAACACCTGAGACCGGTACCCAGGGCTCCTGAACAGCCAGCTCAGTGCTTTCTCCACACTAGCAGATGCCTCGATTCTAATATACTGTTCCTCTTAACTTGGCTCTTAGTGGTTTTTTTTTTTTTTTTTTTCCTTTTAAAGAAAGCCTTAGACATGACATGAAATTGAACTATTTCCATCAGGCCAATCTCTTCTCATTTTTATCAGTGTACAGGTAGCAGACTTTTATGGAGCTCTAGTGAGTGTGTATTATCCCTGTGTTTTGTAATTTTTACATAAAGCCGCTTCATATACTCACTTCCAGGAAACAGTACCTTACTGTGCTACTCTACCATGGATGGCTTAGCCAATTACATATTATTGGACACTCAAACTCAACAGGCACCTGGAATTATATGCACAAAACTGTTACACATGGTAAGTGACCTTTGAGGGATAGAACTGGGGGTAAAGGGGAATCTTTCATTTTCTACTTTGTGTCTTTTTGCTCATTCAGGTTTTTAAAGTAATTATATGTCCTGTTTTTATTACAAATAATTTTAACTGTGTTCGGCTATGGGGATTCTCCAATTTTCCTCTTATAAAGAACCCATTTGTATATTGTTGTTACCAGATTGCATTCCCGAAGAGAATGAATCAATTATTGTGCCCATTGGCAATGTATAAGTGTACCTATTTCCTCCTCACAAATGTACAAGCCTTATGACACCAGGTGTAATCATTCTTATTGCAATACCTCAAAATCTTTTGAATTTGCATTTTTCATTGATAATAAAACTCTATTATCTTTGTCATCAAAAAGTACTTTTTCTACTGTGGCAGAAAGAATATATCAGACAGACCTATGATCAAAACTTCATTTTGCTGCTTAATCAGACAGACTTTTGATAAATTGCCAATCTTTTCTGAGCTTAAAGTTTCCTCATATGTAAGACGGACACACTGATAAACCTACACAAAGCTTTGTTGTGAGGATTAAATGAGATCATGCATGTGAAATGCTTAGCAGTGCTTGGCACATAGCAATGCTCAGTAAATGGCAGCTCCTAGTTTACTATTCCCAGATGTATAGTGGACTCTGGGAAATTGTCAGTAAGCTTGAGAAAGCTCTCCATCAGAAATGCCTACCACTTATATGGTAGACCTCACTTCTGGGGCTCTCTGCAGTAGTGGAAATAGGGTGATTTTATGTCATGAGTTATATAGAGCTCTCAACCTTTCAGTCATGTAGTTTCTAATTGTCTCTATCTTCACAACAGCCCTATAAAGCAGGTAAGACAAATGCTGTGACCTGGCTCTTGATCTGTGAAGAAATAATGGTAATGAGATAATAAATCTGTTCCTATTTTCAACACAGATTTATCAAGCATCTACTGTGTACCTGACATTGCTAAGGGCTGGAGACCAAGCAATGAACAAAAGCCTCTGCCCTCATGGGCCATATGATCTGGTGGTGGAAAAAAAGCAGTAGAATCAATAAGTAAACTCTAGAATCTTAGGTAGAGATAAGTGTTAAGGGGAAAATGAATCAGAGAAGGGGAGAGGGTTGCAATTTTAGATGAAGTGGCCAGGAAAGGCCTCAGTGAGCAGGTGGTATTTTAACAAAGATCTGAAGAGAGGTAAAGAAGTGAACCAAGAGAATACATCCTAAGGGACAGGGTTCCAGGTAGAGGGAACAGCAAGTGCAAAGGTCCTGAGGTGGGAACATGCCTGGTAGTTGAGGAACAGCAAGGAGGCAAGTGTAGCTGAGTGAGGAAGGTGAAAGGAAGAAGGTAATAAGTGGTGGTGTCTGAGCCATAAGTTGGGAGGGGAAGGGGACTCAGATTATGTTGGGCCTTATAGGAATTACTTTTGCCTTTTACTAAGAATAACCACTGGGATTTGCAAGAGAAAATTTTCCTGCTTGCTCCCATTCCAGTCTGATTCAGGAGCCCTGAGTACAGCAGGCAGGGATTTTTGCCCAACCCCAAATGGAAATGTGCTCCAGAGCAGGAAGATTTATCTTCACTGTGTTCTAGATACCCCTCCTAATGATATATGTTTTTTTGTTTTGTTTTGTTTTGTTTTGTTTTTGGCAGCTGGCCAGTAGGGGGATCCAAACTCGTGATCTGGATGTTATAAGGCTGTGCTCTAACCAAATGAGTAACCGGCCAGCCCTACCCCTCCTAATGAGAATGGTGAGTGATGTCCACTGGAGCATAGACAGAAGGTGTGGAGCCAGAAGTCCCTGATTTTTCCTCCTTCACACCTGACTAGGCCTTCCTAGGGCTGAGCAGAGTGCTCTGAGGGCCATAGGCTTTGATGGGCTGGCCAGAGGAACAGAGACACCAGAACTTTTCCCAGGGGTAGGGGAGTTTGCCTCCACCAATTTTAACTGGTCTCTGTTCCATGGAAGTACAATGCAAAGGGATCTCAAGCCATCCTCTTTAACCAACCTGCCAGTTATGCAAAGCAACCCAGGGCCTTTTCTCCAAAGCTGCCAGAATAAGTCACAGAAAGGGATCAGAGCCAAACACAAATGGGAAAAAAGGAATTCACGGGCATGTACATCTTACCGTGTGGGCAAACATTTCAAAGGTAAACCAAAAAAACCTTTAATCTATCTGCATCCCCTCTGTTAATATGAACATTCTGAAGTTGGTGGTGAATGGTACTGATAATACCAAGTTAAAGGATTTGGATCCCCTTACTGGCCAGCCAGCAAAAAATAAATAAATAAAGTAGGTGGTGGAGAACTCCTATTTTGGAAGAGCATCTCCCTCTTTAGGCCACTAGGCTCCCATTAATGTACCAGCATAAACAACGTGCTTCATTGGGAATATCAGATTTTCCTAGGGAAATATAAGGTTAGGATGATACAAAAATACAGTTGTTCTTTTTACCTCCAAAGACTATCCCACCTTGATTTTGGAACCCAGATGGAGACTATGTTTACTTATTGTAGTCACCTTTGCTATCATCTCCTAGGTTTTCTGGACTTCAAACTTTTGATCAAACAAGAGCGTTTTTATTGTTCTTCACTCTTGTGTACCAAACCGGAGTGGTCAACTAACTTACCGAAACGAACTCATCAATTTGTCTACGGCCCCTTTCCGCTGTGAATTCACCATGGGTGATCCATTTAATGTTTTTGATGGGGTTTTCCTCTTCTGCAAACAAGGTGTGAATTTGTTAGCTGCCTGGTAGTGTGGTGTTACATGAGACAATTCTTGAGGCACCCAAACAGGATTACTACCTTCCACAAACTTAACAGCAGCTGCAATGGCATCCTCAGCTAGGGCTAAAGCCACTTCACTCACATCGCTGTCATCTTGTATTGTTAGTATCTTCATCTCTCTTGAAAAAGCTACGTGCATTGTCTTCTGACTTCTGACACTTTTAGTCACATTCATTTTCTTTTGCCTGGAAAAAGAAACTCAAGAAGTTACTGTGTGCATGTGTGTGTATGTGCGTGCATGTGTGTGTGTGTGTGTCTGTATGTGTATGTACATACATGTGAATGCACTCATGTAAGTACAGACTGTCTCTTAAAGAATCATAAGACACAGAAAACAATTGTTGCCTCTAGGGAAGGGATTGGGGTTGAGGGTATGAGTGTGACCTAACTGTATACACTTTGTGCCTAGATGTTGAGATCTACTTTTCCTGAAAACCAAGGATTTTCACATTCTCGAAACCATGAAGACTTAAATCAAAATGTAGTAGAATGACTCCTAACTTCTTTGGAGTTCTAACAGTATTGATTTCTAGTTGAGTCTTTAGTAGAGCCCTAGTCCCTGCTTTAAGCAACTGAAGGCACATGACTTTTTAAAGATAGTGAATTAAAATGATTAGAGGTAATACGGCAGAAGAGGGGTTGGTGTTCTAGTTTTTTTCTCTTGGATTATCCAGGTATACAATTATATCATCTCCAAGAAACTATCATTTTTACTATCTCTTTTCCTGAAATACATCTCTTATGAGTATTAGCTTTGGTTAACACTTCCAGAAAAATGTTAAATGAAAGCAGAGAAATTGAGAATCTTTTGTGTCTGACTTCAATGGGCATGCTTTCTGTTACACCATTAAGTATGATACTGATTTATAGTTTGAGATTTATCACATCAATAAAATATTTTTCTGCTCCTGTTCTAGTAAGACTTTTAGCATAAATGATAGCTAAAATTTTCCAAATGCTCTCAGTTCCGGTCAAGATGGTAGAATAGACAGTCCCCAGCATCACTCTCTCCCACAAATCAACCAATTTACAACTGTAAAAATGTAACAACAGCCAAGCTGGGGCCGCTGGAGCTCAGGTAAAGAGGAGGAGAGAACTACAGAGTTCATGAAGGGGGAGAAGCCACGATGAGAGAAAGAAAAACTGCACAGAGCATTTCGTGCTGCAGTGGCTCTAAGGCTAGAACTGCTTTGCACATGGAGCAGGAGCCAGCAGAAGCCGCAGCTGTGCCCTTTCGATGAAGTTGCTTGGAGGCAGCAGGGGAGAAGAGGGCCTTGGTGGCCCCCAGGACAGCAAGACCACTAATAGGGTTCCCGTGGACCCACACAAGAGCAAGGAGCAAGAACAGCTGAAAAAGGGGAGCTATTCAGAGGCCAGTGAGTCACCGCAAGGGACCGGAGCACGGCCCGTCCCATGGAAGTGTTTGGAGCATGGGCAGTGGGAAAGACGGGCCCACTGGGAAAACACTGGGACACAGCAAGGACAGCCAGTCAGTCCCCCAGTCAGTGCAGGACCACTCAGAGGAGACTGGTCAGGAATGCAGAATTGCATGGGGTGCAGTTTGATGAAAAGATTCAGGCCCACATCAGAGTTTCTACACAACCCAGGTGCACCCGGTCTCTGGAGAGCTGGAAGTACCCACAAGGTCAATCATTAAACCCCGAACTGCACAAAAAGCCTTCCCTAGGGAAACAGCAGCAAAGCAGCAATTTAGCTCAACCACACAGCTCAAGTACTGGTTCCCACAGGGAGTTCCCCCATTTTAGAAGTAAGCAAAGGACAAAAAATTAGTTCTGGCCCAGGCACACCACCAGCACCTCCGGGCCGCCAGGGGACCTGAGGTCTGGAGCCAGGGACCAGACCACCTGCCCACAACCACACACACTGCCAGTGCCTTGGGACCCACCTGGGGACCTGAGGCTTAGAGCAGGGGATCAGACCCCACTCCCACATCCAGGCACACCGCCAGTGCCTCAGGGCCCCACTAGGGGGCCCAGGGCATGGAGCCAGTGACCAGACCCCCTCACCCTCAACCAGGCACACTACCAGCGCCAAGGAGCATGCCAAAAACATCACCTCCATGTGGGTGGCCCACCACAGCCAACACAGTAACCACGGCTGCCACTAAAGCAGTTAGACATCACAACCACCACGCAGATGGTCCACCAGCCACTGGAGTGCATTGACACAAGGAGAGTCACCATCAGAGACCAAAGAAAAAAAGGATGTCTCTCTCAACAAAGCCCATTCCAGAGTGACAGAAGAAGCATCTGCTCTATGATAATATTTGGGGACCTGAACACACCTTTCAGCATTGGACAGATCATCTAGGCAACAAATCAACAGAGTAACCATTACTCTTTCAGAGGGAGAGAAGAAATCTAGGGTTTTCAGTGGTGGGAGCAGGGAGGGAGAGGGGGATAGGGAGAGATTGGACAAGGGGCATAAAAATAAGTACAATTTGTAACAATATACATACTAGTAATATTGATTTGATCAACATATGTCAACATTGAATCCCAAAAATATGTATAATCAATTATGATTCAATAAAAAAAAGAAAGAAAATTTTCCAAATGCCTTTAACATCTATTGAGAAAGTGAAAATTGGAGTTATCAGGGCTGTGAACATGGGTCCATCATAGAGCTAGCCGTCTTAAGGTATTTTCAATATTTTTTACATCCTTTCCCTTGAGTCTTGGATTCTTTTTCTTTCCCTGCTACTGCTTAAGTCTCTTCACTTATGAAAAATCACTTACTTCCAGCACAGTTTTAGTTCCCTGCAGGCAATCCTTGCATTGGGGGCTGCATGAGAGTGGATATCTCTCTCTAAAGGGAGCTATTTTTCTATACATAACAGCTCCCAAGCTGGCTGGTTAGCTCAGTTGGTTAGAGTGTGGTGTTATAACACCAAGGTCAATGGTTTGTTGGTAAAATAGATATGTTATTAAAAAATAATAATAATAACAGCTCCCAATTTGGGAGTGTTGAATGTGCCATGTTTCATTTAAATATCACCACAGAGGGCTGGCCCATGGCTCACTTGGGAGAGCGTGGTGCTGACAACACCAAGTCAAGGTTTAAGATCCCCTTACTGGTCATCTTTTAAAAAAAATTAAAAATAAAAATAAATAAATAAATATCACCACAGAGGGCTGGCCCATGGCTCACTTGGGAGAGCGTGGTGCTGACAACACCAAGTCAAGGTTTAAGATCCCCTTACTGGTCATCTTTTAAAAAAAATTAAAAATAAAAATAAATAAATAAATATCACCACAGGACTATGAGCTCATATACTGGATACCTTCCATTTGCCCTTCCAGATCTATTCTCCCTCCATCTCTTCCTGCTCACTGCCATGGAAGGCTGACCTGACTGGACTGTGTGAATGGGCTCTCCCTTGACCTCTGGCTTCCAGGAGGTTCCACACAATAGGGAGATCAAGCTGAAGGGAGGAGAATGAAGTCAAAGAATATATCTCTCTCCCACTTCACCCCTGTGGCTCTCTCCCAACAGGGTCGCCTGTGGCTGGCTGCATGCAGAAGGCCCCAGATTCTCTCAGGGCAGCTCTCTCACCCAGCTTCTCAGTCTAATAAAGGTAACCATTCTTTCCCTTCAGCCCTGGAGAGCTTTGTGCACTCTGGCCATACTATTATAAGTATTCCTTTTCCTTAACCCTTCTCCAACCATCCTAATTTTAGTATGTGAACAGTTTCCTACAGGGACCCCAAGTCATAAATAGAGGGACACTTGTTACCATGTGAAAATGAGGAAACAAAGCTACATACCCAGACTGTCTGGCTCCACAGCCTGTACTTTTAGGCTCTTAACTACACTGCCCTTCTCCTTCCAAGATTCAGAAAGCATAGTGGGCCCCTGCTCTCACATCTTCATCTGGAGTCCAGAATGTGCCCTGTGTTAGTCTGTTTCTACTGCTTAGAACAGAATACCTGAAACTGGGTAATTTATAAAGAAATGAAATTTATTTCCTACAGTCTCAGAGACTGGGAAGTCCAAAGTCCAGGGAACACATCTGGTGAGGGCCTTCTTCCTGGTGGGGTGACTCTCTACAGCAATTCAGGGTACTGCATGGCAAGAATGGGCTGAGCAAGAGAGAACTAACTTTCTCACTCAATCTGCTTATAAAGCCATCAGAACCACACCCATTACTCAATGAATGGATCAATCCATTCACAAGAGCACAGTCCTCGCAATCTAATCACCTCTTAAAGGCCCCTCCTTTCAAATACCATAATTGAATTTCCCACCCTCTTAACACTGTTACAATGGGGGTCAGGTTTCCAATACATGAACTTTTGGGGGACACATTTAATCCATAGCATACCACTTCCTTTCTGTGGGCATCTTTCACAAAGGACAACATTTTGTTTCCTTTTCCGACATCATCATTGGTCCCACGGGGTGGCGCTTATTGCATGAAGCCACCCAGTTCCATGGCCATAAGTCCAGGAATGATTTGAACAGCCTTTAAACATTCCTATAATAATGTTGGCTGGTGTTCATTTATGCCTCGATATTAGCATTTTAAGCTCAGCTTGCCTCTGCCTCAGTTCCCTGCTGCTGCAGCTAGGGCATAGACAGGATCATCTACTAGAGGAAACCGAGCCTTTCCAGGATGCCCATTCCAGAGCAGGAAGAGATTAAGGGGAAAGGGGGCTGAAGACCCTTAACATTAGAGAACTGGCTCTCCCTACCACTTAGGCCATGTCAATTGACCAAAGCAATTTGCTGTAAACTCTGTAGTTAAAGACAAACACACAAAAGTTTTTGTGTAAATTGGTAAATTTGGTAGGCTTTGGTGAGTTAGCCATACAGCAACTTGATCCTTCAGAGAGTTGTCCATTTGGTGACTTGGTCATTTGGTGACTCAGCTTTCAGCAAATTGACTATTGATGAATTGACTAGAAGCCAAATCTGTGACCTCCAATACCAGGTGAATGAGGTAGGGGCTTTATTCATGGAAGGACCTCCTTAAGACCTTCCCCCAGGAGCCCTGTGCTCCAACAGGAGAGGGGAAGGGGAGAGCAGAGCCCAGGCGGAAGCCCGATTTTTATCCTCATACATCTGTGGGCACACATCATTCTTAAGCCTCCCTCCCAGTAGCCTCTCCTAGATCTTTTTCTTCCCTTCCCTTCCCTAGAGGCCAGATAGGCAGAATGGATGGGAAGAGCGGGGAGTCCTGGTCAAGAATGGGGTCTGGTGATGAATAGGGAGAACCACTGCAGGTCCTTTTTGTGAACTCCACAACTACTAAAAAACCACGATACCTGAGTGACCAGATCCTTGTTTGAAGCAGTAGCAGCAGTAGCTGGGGAAGCCTCTGAAGGAGTCTCTCAGCAGCTTTTCCCCAAGATTCCCAGACAGAATGTTTACAAATGTTGCCAGGGCAACATCAGTTTCAACCAATGAGAAGCAAAGCCCACAGGTTTCTGACTGCTTCTGTTAATAAAGAAGGGGGAAATGGAAGGGAGTGACTGAAGGAAGGGGAGAGTCAGACACAGCAACTGTCTGACCTCAATAACAAGACCAAGCTGCAGTAGCCATTCCCAGCTTCTTCCCAGCAGATGAGCTTGTAGGGCTGTTCCAGGAGAACTCGTAAGCCTCACAGCTGGTACATATTGGGCATCCTTGTGACATACCAGTCACTGTGTTAAGCCTCTGGTATTTGTTAAGTCATTTACTCCTCACAATAGCATCATGAGGAAGGTATTAGCACTTTTATATTACAGTTGAGGAAGCCGAGGCACAGAGTGTTAAGTTACCCCAAACTCAAACTTAGAGCTGTCTGACTTCATTTACTGAGCTTTTACTTTTTATTCCCACATCCTGAGGTAAGGACCTCCCTGTGTGCTTCATTGTTTTCAAAGATGTCTTTATGAATCAAGGATGAGAGAGAGTTTACTATAATGTTTAAAAGCACAAACACGGACAATTTAACATTTTTCTTTCTCAGTTTACTTGGCTATAAAATGCGGATAATAATAATGCCTACAGAATAGGGTTTTTAATGAGGATCAAACCAGATAATTCATGTGAAGACTGAGAACAGTGCCTGGTACATCATAAGCTCGCTCTATAATGGTTAGATATTTTTCCTAGTATTATTAATAGTAGTGGTATAAATGGTATTCTTTTAAATGGTCTTAACTGGTGAAATGAAAAGTTGATGACCCTATTTTAGGACCCAGTTTTATTTCATTAATTTTATTAATCCATGAAATTCCCCAGTCTCAGAACCCCTGCCCTTAACTATGCTACGTATATGGAGTGGTTGCTCACCGCAAGACAATTGATTTCAATCCCAACAAAGGAAGAAAAGTGCTCTGTTAGGTGTCTTCTTTATCCAGGAAAAAATGCTGAGTTCGTTGCCTGGAAGACATCACATACATCAAGGGCTCACACACAGAGATCATACTGCTAAGATGGACTGGTAAGAAGAACACAGACTCTGAATGTAGACAGAAGCTTTCAAATCTCAGCTCTGCCACATACTAGTACTGTGACTTCAGGCAGGTTATTTCACCTCTCGAGTGTCATGTGTACAATGGCAATATTAATAGTCACTTCATAGGGTTGATGAGAAGATGAAATGAGGTGATTCATACAGAGCACTCAGAACAAGGACAGGCACAATTTAAGTGCTCAATAAACATCAGTTACCACAATCATGGTGAGGAAGAGACTAACCACAGCAGACAATCAAAAAGCAGAGAAACCAGAAAGAGCCTGCCACCCCTCCTGAAGCTGGGGAATTTCCCCCGGAACTTATGGAACAGGTGTGTCCTGAGCTCTCCCTCATTAGGTTCAGGTTCAATGCCCAGCAGCCACGCCAGAAAGAGGATTCGTGTGGACACCATCATTGGTGAGCACAAAAGTTCCAGAGCTCCGAATACTATCAATGATAATGACTGGCCTCAGTTCTGCCCATTGGTCTGACTCTCATAAAGCCCATCAGACCAACTGCCATGAACCTTCTAGTGCCACAGCAGGCTGGGAACCACAGCCCAAATTGGGAGCTGTTATTATTAGTAACATATCTATTTTACCAACAACTTTTTTTTTTTGGCAGCTGGCCGGTATGGGGATCCAAACCCTTGACCTTGGTGTTATATTTCCACTCTCTAACCAACTGAGCTAACTGGCCAGCCAGGAGCTGTTATTTATAGAAAAAATAAATAGCTCCCTTTGGAGAGAGATATCCACTGTCATGCAGCCCCCCCAGTGCAAGAATTGCTGGGTTTGCTGGGTGGATGCTTATGCTTCTGGGATGGGAGCTGGAAGCACCAGGCCCCACAGTCGCTGTATTCCGAAGTCCAAGGGGCAGGGTTCCAGCTTCCTTTGTGCCAAGCTTTGGTGGGCAAGGGCATCCAGACCTTTCCTAGGAAGCCCTAGGACCACTGGTGAGAGGAACACAGTGAGCACCTAATGTGGGAGGCGGAAAGTGGGATTCGTCATTGCCCAGGGGAAAGAGATGCTCAGGCAAGCGATGAGAAACTCCTTGCAGGCAAAACGCTTTCATGGGGGGAGCCAGGAGAGAATTTCCAGCAGATTAGAAAAGCCCCTTCTTTGAAGCAAGAGCTTAAACTCCATGACGGAACCTTACCTCGTACCTGCAGCCAAACCCCTCACTGAAGCGGACAAATTCTGGCCTCTGGGGCTCTCCTACAGTGCTGAGGACAGGTTTCTCCAAGCTGCATTGTACCCAGGTGCTAGTGTGGGGAAGGGTGGAGAGGCTTGGAGGCTCAAGCTGGAGGGGAGAGAGAGAGGAGCAGGTGGGTGTGGAGTATGCATAAAGCAAATGTGCTTCATAGGGCCTGGTTTTCCAAAGCTTTGCAGTTTCAAATATTGACCTTGCAAAGGACAGGAAATTTTCCCCAGGCTATAGTCTCTGTTGTAAGATAAAGATTTGTAACACAGCAAGGTTGCTGGCTCAAAGACAGACAGGTTACTAATTGATATGTAAAGATACTGGAAAATTGCTGTAAGAAGAGAATGTTTGCTAAGATCAAGCTTTTGTGGGTGGATCAACTTAACTTCTTGAAAAATTTCATTATGGGGCCGAGCCCGTGGTGCACTCGGGAGAGTGCGGCACTGGGAACGCAGCGGTGCTCCCACCGTGGGTTCGGATCCTATATAGGGATGGCCAGTGCGCTCACTGGCTGAGCGCAGTGCGGCTGGTCTCAAAAAGGACCAAAAAAAAAAAAAAAGAAAAATTTCACTATGGAATGTCACCTTGCTTTTCTTACTGAATGTTACCAGCTCCTATTGTTAAACTTGTTAAACTGTACTTAGAAAAAAACCCACCTATGTTGTCTTCCTGGAACTTCCTGGTCTGGAAAATAAATGTGGGAAGAGAACCCCAATTCATGGTTAATTTCCCAAATGAAAGGAATGCCTCTCTCTTGAGGGTTCTGGGAGATTAACCCCTTTTCGGGGCTTCTCACTGCTCAGAAGAGATGGGCTTTGAGTAATCTTTGGCAGCTCCATCACCAGTGGAAAAGGGGTGACAAATCCATGGGATGCAAAGCAACAGGTGGGGCAGAGGAGGAGGAGCTGGCTGGAAGCTCTCCTAGCTCAGCCCCTCCTTTCTTGGGAAGGAGATGGACTGGGCTGGCTGGGAACTTCCTGAAGTGTCAGGGCGCCCATCCTCCCCAGGCCCCTGTTCCTGGCCTGGACGGTGGCCTACGTTTGCCTGAGAGAGTGTGGAGCCTGTAGGCATGCACGTGCTGCTCCACAACTCCATGGGGCCCTTCCAGACCATTCTGAGGGAAGCCGCCCAAGCTGACAGCAGGCTGGCCATGGTGAATATGCGGCCTGTCCGCTTCCAGGGCCCTGCCTTGCTCGCCTGGGCTTCCCAAGGCTGCCTAAAGCTGGACAGACCGAGTGCCACTGGTGCCTCACTTGCCGCTCCTGTGTGGAGTGGGGAGAATTTGTGTAAAGGATATTGTGCTCACTAGAACGAATTGCTTTGGAGAGACCCTTGCAGGTCCCAACTCTCTTAGTTGCTTCTTCAAATGAGGAAAATCTGGTGGGGGAGGGAGAGACCCCTAGGCAGAGGTGATCTACATCAGCACACAAGAAGAGGGGATGGAGCTAAAGTTGTGGGCCCTCTCTTTGGGACCCCACACCCTGGGCCTTAAATTATATTCTTTCCCACCTGTTGCCCCTTCAGTCATTTTCATTCCATTTCTTCCCTCTCCTCCCCTTTTACTCTCATGTTCACCCTATCTCCCCCCTTCTATTATTTATCTTCTTATTCTGTCCTCTTCCTCCCCTTTCCTCTCTTCCACCTATGCCTAGCAAGGCTGATGGCTCTCAGCTATGGAGCCCAGGCTAAATGCTGACATTCTCTTTGAAAGATAATGAACCAAAACACCAGGTACCGATCAAGCTTTATTAGAGAAAACGAATCTGCCAGGCTGCACTCAAAATGGAGAGCAGCAGCAGGGGCTGTCCTCAAAATGGAGAGCAGCACAAGGCGTTGGGGGTGGGAGAGCTTATATAGGCTGTAGGGCACCAGGGCTGGCTGATGCAATCAAGGGGGGGACAATTACGCTAGTGCGTAAGCGCCACCTGGCTGATGCAACTGGGGTGGAAAATTGCACCTATGTGGAAGCCAAAAGGGTTTCTATTTCACAGAAGTCACGAGGCTTCTCATAAGGAAAAGGGGACAGGGGCTGGTGGCTGTTTTGTGCTTGGCCTTGCCCAAAATGGCACTGGTTATGTTCAAAACCTATCATTCTTCTTGTCAAATGAACTCAGGTCAGTTCATACCTTTTAAATACCTGTGAAGTGGCTGGCCAGTTAGCTCAGTTGGTTAGAACACAGTCTTATAACACCAAGATCAAGGGTTCGGATCCCGCAACTGGCCAGCCACCAAAAAAATTAAATCCTTGTAAAGTGCACAGGCAGCAGGAACTGTGAAGTAAACCTGACTAAGACAAGGTTTCCACCCTCAATGCACTTACAATCTACTTGGGAAGATTAAAGCATACTCACATGAGAAGATAACTAGCAAGTCAAAGCAGGGGACAGTAAAATACTTTGTATTTGGGCTGGTTCTAAGCAGGTGTGGCTGAGTGATGTCACTTTATGCTGAGGCCCATCCTCCAACAGTAAAAGCCGCAGGTGGTCAGAACCCTGACAGTCCTAATGTCACAAAGACCTCTCAGAACATTCCAGCCACCCTTGAGCATGAGTGCCTCACTGGCTGTATTATTGATGGTGATGCCTTCATATCCAGAGTCATAACTACAGTGGGTTGCTCTTATTGGCACTTGATGAAAACTCCAGGGTTGCCCTACAGACCTGACCATCTGGCCTATAGAAACAAAGTGTATCAG